AGTTTCAATCTGAGTGAATAAAAGCTGCAGTGACCCTGTCTCTGTCTTGTTGCTGGTTTATTGGCAGCAGCTAGTCAACAAACTCAAAAAAGAATTAGTGACACAATACCTATTTGTCACAAGGGAAAGTTTTTATGGAGGGGGTAGGGGATTAAAAAATAAAATATCAAAAACATTTTAAAAACAGGAGGGCAGAAGGAAGTTCATAGAGGGATATAAATAATCAGGGCAATTTTGTTACATTTATTTTTGATTTAACATATATTTTAAAAATGTAAATAATATAAATTCAGTTTTATATACAGTGCTCTTTTATATCTTGCATATTTGTTCATTGTATTTTGAAATGTTCATGTTTGTTGGTATTTCTTAAATAAATAATAAAAACACATTTTTAAAGGGCACAACAAAAGAAAGTTACTAAAAATAAGAAATTAGAGGGGAAGAGAGAAGGAAGATTCTAAACTATTTGCTTCACTAGGGCTAAAGGAGGGGCCAAAAGAGGGGCAGAATTAGAAAACTAAATAAATGGAAAAAATAGACATTAATAACTGAAGTGTAGGCCAGTGTGGGTTAATCCACCCCATTTATACTTGAACTTACAAATCTGGTCCTCAGAGATGACTGCTACTCTAGATAGCAGTTCTAGGGTCTGTATATCCTCATATACATACTCTTGTCCCTCTACTAGTGTGCTTCTCATTAACAGACCTAAATTAGCTCAAAGCAAAGGCATTTATTAAGATATCACGTAAAAATAGTAGCTATAAAACACTGCCCTCCTCCCCATAAATCTACAGGGCACACTCCCCAAATACACACAAAATCTTTGGGCAGAATGGGCCATAAACTTAGAATATAATGATGGTAAAGTATACATGTGGTCAAGGTGACTCACTGCTCCCATTACTGATGGATGGGTCTTGAAATTCTTCACCTGTGTAATACTAATGAAGTCCTCCTGCCCCCTCCCCAGCCTTGGTACTACATTTCCTGTAGGAGGTTAATCAATTGGGTTTCTAGGGTCTGCTTTTCACAGGATATAACAACTCTCATGATTCCATAGCTAGCTGTCTTCTTTGTTGCCAGGGGCCATGCTCTTTGAAGCTACTTTCATCAATGAATTCTACCTCTCTTTTCCTGTGTGTCCCTCTGTCCATTCAAACAGCCATCCATCCTAGTTCAAACCCTCATCATCTTTTGTCTAGACTATTTCAATAGCCTCCTGATTGGTCTCCTAGCATCTAATCTTTCCCCTTTCCAAACCAGCATTTACACATATCATTGCCATCATCAAGAAATTCTAATTGCTTCCTATTTCCTTGAGGATAAAATAGAAACTTCTCTTTTTAGCATTTAAAGTCCTTCACAATTTTAGTCTAACTTATTTTTCCAGGTTCATTGTGTCTTAATCTTCTTCATTTTTAGGTTTCTGACAAACTGGCCTACTTGCTATTTACTACATGTGATATCCCAACTCTTCTTTAATTTACTTTTATTTTAGTTTACTTTTCTGCATACATGTTATTGTCCACTCCCAATAGGTCAGGAATGGGTTAATTTTTTTCCCTTGTAACTCCAGCACCTCTACAATACCAGGAACATAGTAGGTACTTAAAAGATTTGTATTGAATAAATGAAGAAAGATATGAAGAGGATTCAATTTGAAGTGAGACAATGCATTAAATACTTGGGAATTACTATACCAAGACACATACATAGAGGCCACATAAAAATAAACTACAAAATAATTTTTATTTAATAAATAATTATATACTATTCATGGATGAACTACACCAATATGCAGTTAATTCTCAACATTCACCTATTTAGCTTTTAAGACTTTATCAGTGATTTTATTAGTAACACTTTCACATTGGCAATTGCACACTTTCACTGCTATGTGCAGCAGAGAAAAAAATGAGAGGCGTAATGCTAAGTTTATGGAGCGGCTGATATTCTACTAGGCACTTCACTGGTCTTATTCATCCTACCACTAGAGTAAAGAGTTCCTTGTGCAATTGTTTGCCTTTAAAACTCAAGTTTTGTGTTGCAATTATGTCCCTAAAGTATAGTGCAAGTCCTTTGGGCTCCTAGCCCAAGTGTGCAAAGTCAGTGATGTGGCTTGGTAGGAAGATAAAGGTGCTAGATAAACTTTGTACCAGAATGTCTGCAGCCAGTGGTGGCCTTGAGTTTGGTGTGACAATTCATCAAATCTGCAAAAAGGAAGAAAGTATTCATAAGAGTGTTTGTGAATCTGTTCCAGAAAGTGCTAAAGTAACCTCTCAAGTGTGCAAAAAGGGAATTGAAAAAAATGGAAAAACAGCTAAGTTTGTGGGTAAATGAGATGGTGGAAGAATGAAAAAGTGTGGTTGACACAGCAACCATCCTCTTGAAGGCCCAACAAATTTATAAGCATGTAATGAAAGACCAAGAGAATGTGAAGCCTTTTATAGCTAGCTAAGTGTGGATTTATTGTTTCAAGTTATGGTATGGTTAAAAAAAATGTGAAAATTTCCAGTGAAGCTGGTTCTGCTGCTGCTGTTTCAGAATATGTTGAACATGCTGATTGAGAAAAAGGGTTACAAACCTGAATAAGTGTTTA